CACGATGAGTCAGTTCAGGTGGGGGCAGCTTTGTCTGAAGGAGCTGCAGGGGCTCACTGGTACCTCATCTGGGAAGACAATAATATTAGTGTGCTGGACTTTATTATAGAGGATGCCGTCTCACTGCACAAAGTAGGTTCTCTCTCTCTTTTTTTTTTTTTTTGACAGGGTCTCATTGTGTAGCTCTGGCTGTGGTGGAACTATATAGACCTAACTGGCCTCAAACTCCCAGAGTTCTCACAGAGACCTACTTGCCACTGCCTCCCAAGTGCTGGGATTAAATCAGGGCTCTCAACCTTCCTAATGCTGTGACCTTTTAATACAGTTCCTCATGTTGTGGTGACCCCAACCACAAAATTATTTTTGTTGTTACTCATAACTGTAGTTTTTCTACTGTTATGATCATAATGTAACTATATGATATACAGGATGGTCCTAGGTGACCCCTGTGAGCGGGATCATGACCCACAGGTTGAGAACCACTGGATTAAAGGCTTGTGCTCCGGATGCCAGGTTTCTTAATGTTTCACTCATTGCTGCTTAGGCAGTGCCAGGCAGTGTCTTTCAGATATACATGCTTCAAGGGCAGCTGTAGAAGCCAGGGCACCTTCCAGCCCTTCTTGTGAAGGGAGATCTAGGCCTGTAAGGATTGATTGGTCCCCAGGAGGCGCCTTTCTAAACCAGGCCCCAAGGGTGGATGGGGTGGGAAGATGGCAAAGCCTCATTCAGGATGGTCAGAAGGAGCTGGAGAGCAGCCAGGTTTATTTCAGGGATTACTAGACTCTGACAATGCCCGTGGTCTTACAGTAAGGGAGGACTTGAACCTTAGTAAGAACCTCAATCAGGCCACACCCAAGACCTGCAGGGGTGGTACGGTGCCTGTCTGGGACAAAGTGCAGTGTAGAGGAAGGCTGAGTACTTGGCTGCTTTCCACGCTACTTGACCATGTAGTATGGTGTGTTGTGGTATGTGTCGTAATCACACACCCCCCCACCCCGGTATATTCAAGCTTTTCGGAATAGGGTTTTCTTTGACCTCTAGCTAGGTTGATACACTTTGAATTCTGGGTCTCTAACAGTTGATTCCTACACCATATATACCATGTAGCATGACTCTGATGGAAGGGTAGCTCACCCTTCAGCAATGTCCCCTGGCGTCTGGTGATGCAGAAGAAGCTTGAAGTAATAAATTGATGCCGAGCAGCTCTGCCTGCAATATTGCTGGAAACTGAGTAGTACTCTGACCTGACTAGGCTTGTTAGGAACTGTAGGAAAGAAAATGAAGTTAAGGCTGCTGCAAGGTTTCTGCTAGTATTTGTTAAGCTTTACCTAGATTAGGAGACAGCCCTTAGGCCTTTAAGGGGCAGCTCACGGGGCAGCAAAGGGTCTCAAAGCTGTTAAGTAAGTCCCTTTGTGTAATGAGCATTCTTCCCACCATCCTGGTCCCTGAGCCCCGTCAGTCCCAAATGAACACACAGGACGCTATGTTAATTATGAAGCTGTTGGCTGTTTGTTATGGTTTCTTATTGGCTATCTCTGACTTATTATTAGCCCATAATTGCTAATCTGAGTATTTCCACATGGTCTTCTCTTACTGGAGAAAGGGTCCAGACCTCTTACTTCTCTTGTGTCCTACGTGGTGACTGACTGTGCCTCTGTTTCCCAGAATCCTCCTTGACTCCTTGTCCCACCTATCTTGCTTCCTCATTGGCCAACAGTGCTTTATTCATCAACCAAAAAGACAAACATATACACAGAAGGACTTCCCCCATCACTTGCGCTCTTTTCAGGAGGGGCCTAATCTGATAGCTTTTCTGCTATGACTGTGACTCTGGGTAACAACTGTGAAAAGAACAACACTGATTTGCTTACAAAAGGAAGAGTCTGTCAGTGTTGTCTGCAGTGTACCGCTCCATTTGCCCAAGTGGCCAGACTTACTTTCTGCTCCCTGCTTAAATTTTCTAAGTGTAACCTGGAACCTGAGGGAGATTTAGGGATGGCAGACAGCATATGTGGAATGTATAAGCCCAAGGCCCATTTAAGCAGGTAGTTTCCTGTTCCCTTTTGTGTGTTAGTCATGTGCTATTATTAAAGAAAGAGTCTTTTCTTTTTGCCTTTATTAACTTTGAGTAGTCCAAGTGATTTCTCACTGAGAAGCCATATTAATTCAATATCACTGGTACATTTTTGCCTACTGCTCACCAAGCACATTTCTGTGTCTGGGTCACTGATTGTGGTTTGCTGTCCTACTGTCTCAAAGCTATCACAGTCTTCTATGTCCTGGATCTGTCTGTTCTCTGCAGGAAGTTGCCAGGTGTTACTACTGAGCTAAGGCTGTACTGTGTCGTGAAAGTAACTGTTAGCAGTTTGGGAGAGTCCTTTTAAGAGTCTGGCTTAGCCTTAGGTGACAACTGCTTCCAACTGTGTCACCTCAGGCTCCTGTGCCTGCGCTCCTCCTACTCATCTGCAAGTTTGTCTTCCCTTGGGACCTTGGCATTGGTACATTGTTCTGTACTTCTAAATTCTTGCTAAGTCTCTGTGATTGCTAACCTCTCAGTTCCTTTTTATACCTGCCAGGAAAAGGAAGAGGTAGGGCTTTGGCACACAGGTAAGGCTTGTGTTAATCCTGAGATTCTCTGGAGAAAAACCAGCTCCACCATTTTGGGTCATATTAAAGCAAGCTTTTATTAAGGTACTAAATACTGACTAAGATGGAAATTATCAGGAATACTCCCTGTAACTTCCAGCTGAGTGGTCCCAAGACTTGTGTTGTTGCAGCTTTTTTTTTCTTTTTTTAGTTTTTACTTTATATGCATTGGTAGAAGGGTGTTGCATCCACTAGAACTGAGTTACAGACAGTTGTGAGCTGCCATGTGGGGGCTGGGAATTGAACCTGGGTCTTCTAGAAGGACAGCCAGGGCTCTTAACCACTGAGCCATCTCTTCAGCCTGTTGTTGCAGCTTTTATGGACAAAACACATCAGCTACCTTACCTTTCCATGATGCTTTGTTATTATTTTTTAAGAACTACAACTCCCAGAATCCCAGGAAGTTACCTGCTCCTTGGGCTGGTGGGGCTTACAGGTTTTTTAAGGTATAACACATGCTTCTGAACACAGATCTGCTTCATCTCAGTGATTTTATCACCTGCCAAATGATGTTTCCATTTCCACTGAGGAGGCCTTGCAGCCTCAGCCTTTTGCCCTGGGTCTCCATTGGCCCTACTCCTGAATGTGTCTGTTCCTATACTTCCTGTGGACTGGTTCTTGGTAGTATTTTACTTCATTACTATGTGTCTCTTGTGGTCCCAGGGACCTTTTTCTTCATATATTTGCTCCTCACTAGGATGCCTTGCAGGCAGGCACCTGCTGCTGCCAGCTTGTCAGAGCCAGAGCTTCAGAAGTGGATAGGGGAGGCCAGAACTTCAGATATGCCTGTTAATGAAGGATTTAGCAATGCGATGTTTTATGTTTAATTTAATGTATTAATTATTGTGGGTGGAGAGGGTATGTGTGTGCTATGACATGCTTGTGGGGCTCAGAGGACAACTTTATGGTGCCAGTTCTTTCCTCCCACTTTTTATGGGTCCTAGGGGTCAAACTCAGGTCATCAGGGTTGTGCAGCTGAGCCAGCTCACTCATCCATCCCGTGCCGTGTAGGGTCCATGTCACCACTGATGCCCCCACTTATGCTCTTTCCATGGCTTCATGGGTGCAGCTCTTCAGTAAGTAGACTGTTGGTTTGTGTTGGGGAGGTCAGAATGCTTTTGAGTACCAACTGAACTGGGCTTTTATCCCATGCTGAGTTAAACCTCAGAGCCCCCAACTTGTTGATTGGTTTACCAACAAGCCCAGTGCTGCAAAGAGAAGACAGGCTTCCAGCAGATCAGAGTGTCCAGGCCCCAGGCCCCCAGCTTAATACCCATCTTTCTTTCTAACAGATATATACCTGTTCTTTTTTAAAAAAATACTTCTTCTCTTTTAAAGATTTTATTTATTTAGTATACAGTGTTCTGCCTGCATGTGTGCCTGCAGGCCAGGAGAGGGCACCAGATCCCAATATAGATGGTTGTGAGCCACCATGGGGTTGCTGGAAATTAAACTCAGGACCTCAGTAAGGGCAGTCAGTGCTCTTAACCTCTGAGCCATCTCTCCAGCCCTTCTTATTTTCTTTAATGTGTATGAGTGTATTGCTTGTATGAATGCATGCAGTGCCCTCAGAGGCCAGAGAAGATGTAGTTCCTGGAATAGGAGTTACAGGTGTTTGTGAGCCACATGTGGGTGTTGAGAATCAAACTCAGGACCTCAGGTTAAGTACTCTTAACCCCTTGAACCATCTCTCCAGCCCCCCCCCATACGTGTTTTTTCTGTGTGTGTATATGTAGAAGGAGGCAGTCTGTGCTCCCAGAGCTCTGTTTGACCTATGTCCATAGCTCTTTCCTCCATAGTGTGAAGAAGAACCTTTCCTAGGATATCTGCATAAAATGCATTTTAGATGTTTTGCTATTGTTTTATATTAGTGTGGACTATTTCCTGTAGTTCTCAGTAGTTACAAATTGGAGCTGGTCTCTTAGACTCTGTTAGGGAAACATGAATTGCTCCACACAGACTCTTGCCTTAGCGGGAATGGGCTATGACCTGTGTGAACAATTCATTTTATGTGGGAGGAATATAGAACTGCAGTCCACTGTACTCAGATATAGAGTTGAGTAGGGGCTCAGGCCATTCAGAGGCCTAGAAATAGGGGTTGGTTGGCCACCCACTAGCCTAATTAACAATCTCAGTGATGATTGTGAGCAGTCTCTTGAGACAGTCCTGTTGTCCTATCTGTTCTGCCTTCTTGTGGCCCTTCTCTTACTCTGGCTATCTGTGGCCACTGCCCTGCTGAGTGTCCTCTCTTCATTTCTCTTCAGGACTCAGCCAGGTTGGCTTCCTGGGGACAGCACCTGTCTACCAGGGGAGACCTGCTAGTGTATATAAACATCTCTTCTTTTGTATTTCAGTGAGGATGCCATGAGGAAAGCTGGTGTGGCCCACAGTAAATCTAGCAAGGATATGGAGAGTCATGTGTTCCTGAAGGCCAAGACCCGGGTAAGACCCTGCTAGTCAAAGTCCCCAGCAGAGCAGTTCCAAGAGGGGAGTGTTTCTGAAACTGAGACCATTCTACTTGGAGCCTGGAGAGGGGGAGTACTTGCTTGCTGATCTCAGATACACAGCAATCTGGAACCTCTCATGTCCATGAAATAGACAAGACTCCTGGATGGGCACTGAGGCTACAGACCCTCTTCTGACCCTGGTCTCATCATTGACCCTGTCATATATGTGTAGTCAGCTCCTTGGAGCCCACTGTTCCTCTGAAGGAGAGGCTGACTTCATGCCCCCAGAGCTTACATATTCCTGATGCACAGGGCCCCATTCCTCTTTGATTCCTCTGTTCACAGAGGTAGGCAATGTTTGGTCAAGTTGAGATTGGAACCTCCCAGGTGGAATTGGAAGAATAATTTCCGGGCTGGTGCAGCACCCTGGCCTTTAGGTGAACTTCTCCTAATGTGTTAGTTCTCAGGAGTGGAAGCTAGAAGTGAAACAAGGGGCTGGAAAGATGGCTCAGCAGATAAAAGACCATGCTGTTCTTGAAGAGGATTCAAGTTCAGTTCCCAGTACCCATGTATACAACAGCCTAAAACTCCAGCTCCATGGGGTCTTCTGGCCTCCACAGGCACCTGCGTTCTCATGCACATTACCTACCCATACTGCCCTTCTCCCTTCACCGCCCCACCCCCACACAATTTTAATGTAAAGCTGGTGTGGTGATGTATGCTTTTAATCTTAGCACTTAGCAGGCAGAGGCAGGTGGATTTGAGGCCAGTCTGGTCTACATATGAGTTAGGCTGGCCAGGGCTACAAGTGGAGACCATTTCCAAATAAATAAATAAATGAATGAATGAGTAAGTAAGCAAACAAACAAACGAATAATAAATAAAGTGAATAATCCATTTTTAAGAAGTGATGCAAGGGCTGGAGAGATGGCTCAGAGGTTAAGAGCACTGACTGCTCTTCCCAGAGGTCCTGAGTTCAATTCCCAGCAACCCCATGGTGGCTCATAACCATCTATATTGGGATCTGGTGCCCTCTCCTGGCCTGCAGGCACACATGCAGGCAGAACACTGTATACATGATAAATAAAATACTAAAAATGAAGTGAAATTGAATTATAGATGGAAGTGTGTTTCTGTTTACATATATATGGAAGGACAAGTCCCGAGAGCTTATGGACTCCTCTGGTTGTGTAACATGCATTTTGTTTTTCTTTTAAAAGCATTGTTGAAATTGAATTAAGAAGTATGAAATTTGCCCACTTGAGGTATATAATTCAGCTATCTAGGATATTCTGAGTTGTGGACAATTATTGCAGTATAATGTTAGAATATTTTATAGAAGCCTGATACACATTAGCAGTCATGCTCCATTTCCCCCTAACCACAGCAGCCACTCACTTGCTTTATTGCTGTGAATTTTCCCATTTGAAACTTGCTTTATAAACACAGTCATAATGATTTTTGCAAACTCTTTCACGTAGCATAATCTTGTTAGGGTTCATACATTAACTGTGTTGTATTGCCAAGACAAGGTTTCATGGTGTAGATTAGACTGACCTCGAGAGATGACCTGCTTCTGTTCCTCCCTACATTTGTGACTGTCATTGTCACTACAGTCGCCAGTGACTGTGATTCTGATTGGTGTTTGCTCAGTAATGACATCACACATCTGTTTAGTGCTTTTGATCCATTGTAAACGTTCTGTGGTGAAGTTGTCTGTTTTTGTCCTTTGGTATTTTTAAATAGTCCTTTATATATTTGGATACATAGATGGTTTAATTCGCAAATATCTGACATTGTATTGTTTAGTCCTATCTTTTGTGTTGTTTCATGAGTTTTGCAGTGGTCCTGATGTCAGAGACTCAGGCAATGCACTTAGCTTTTTTTTTTTAATCCTATATTTTTGAGACATGGTCTTTCTATGTAACTTTGATTGTCCTGGAACTTGCTTTGTACACCAGACTGACCTTGAACTCACGGAGATCTGCTTGCTTCTTGTTTTTCAAATACTGGGATTAAAGGCATTCACTACAGTTAAAGGAATTTCAATAAAGGCAGCCACTGAAGTTAAAAGAATTTTGGTAAAGACTTAATGGAACACAGGCATAGTGGTGAATTTCTTTAATCCCAACACTCAGGAGGCAGGGGCCGACAGATCTCTGTGAGTTCAAGGCCAGCCTGGTCTACAGAGTGAGTTCCAGGACAAACAAAACAAAAGAAGGGGTTGAACTGAATCTACTATTTCTGTTTCTAAAATGTAAACTTTGTTGGTTTAGCTTTGTTTATTGTCTTAGTTCATGACAAGTCAGTCTAAAACTTAGTGGCTTGAAAGAATAACCCTTTAGTTTTCCTAGGTCTGTGAGTCTGGAGTTGTGGTTGGAATTGTCTAGCTGGGCACTTCTACTAGTCTGTCTTCTGTCTTTTCTTGGGGCTGCTTTTCCGGGGTGGCTGGGCTGGGCTGGGCTGGAAGATCCATTAGAGGCTTCACTCATAGATTGTGTGTTGCTTTTACTATGTGGCCTTCACATAGTATCACTAGCATTATAGCTGAGATTTCATTGTATCACTGTGCTTGTGTTTCTGGAGAGAAACTGGAACATCCTCTGTATATAGGAAATTTAAGGCCAGTGCTACAGGTTCAGGAAGAGGAAGTTGCCTCTGCCTTTTGGTGTGATCAGGGGCATGTGTGGGCAGGGAGTCCAGTGACTGTTACATTCCTACCACAGAGACTACCCATCTCAAGAAAGCTTTCTAGTGGCTAATGAATAAACCTTAGATCCTAAAGGAGGTGCTCAGAGGTTCTTCAGCCCCTCACCAGTACAGTTCACTCTCCCTTGGTCTTTGAGTTACTGCAAGTAGTGCCTTAGTGATCTCTTTTGAAGCTGTTTCTAAATCCCTAGCTCTACCAGTAGGCCTTGACTAACTGGAGAAGAACTAACTGCCTGTGAGAGCAGTATTGGCTAATGTCTCTGTATTCTTTTGTTTTGTTTTGGCTTTTTTTTTTTTTTTTTTTGAGACAGGGTCTAACCCTAAAGCTTTAGACTGGCCTGCCGGGATTAATGGTATACACCACCACACCTGGAAATGTCTGTATTTTTTTAACGACAGTGTGCTTGAACACTGCTGGATGTCTGCTTGCCCTCATTTTACTTGCTGTTCCTCATGGAGGTAAATGCCTATTGTAGTAAGAGCCTTCCTACCCGAGGACCCTTGGCAGTCCAGGTCCGCTTGCGCCTGCTCTGACTCCCAAGGCCTTGTGAGTCAGCTGTGAAAGAGATTTAAAAGGTAGCACTCCAGCGCATTGAGGAGGGGGAGGAACTGGAAAGTCAAGAGTCAAGGAAGAAGGGAACAATGATCTTTCCTTGAAATCTTGCAAGCCTGCAGGTACAGGGACAGCACCCTCTTCTGGCTTCTGCAGGCCCTACACTCATGTGCAACATCCTTCACATATACACGCAGTTAAAAATATACAGTCATAGGTCTTAGAGCTTCTTTAGGGACTTGAGTAATAATAGGAGGCAAAGGTAAAGTAGTTTTTAAAACAGATCTTGCCTCAAGTTTATTTGTAGACGCATCATAGAGTCCTGATCATCTGCAGATAGTGTATAGGTGTCACACCAGTCCATCTGTCTTCACATGGCGGACAGAAACCTTTTCTACGGTGCTTCACAGGGGCCTGGGCACCTGAGCTGAAGCTGAAGCCTGGACCTGGGCCTCGGCCTCTCAAGCCTCTGCCTTGGTTTGAACCTTGGACTTTGGTTGGCAGAGCCTGTGACCCTTGGCCATGTAGCTTCTAATCTGCTTCCCAAGTTTGGCGTGTGCAGTCGAAGGAAGACAGCTGAGTTTGCGAATGGGACTCTTTGGCATCTTGGACTTAACCAGCTTGGACTTCACAAAGGGCCTTGATAGCCTCTGCGCATGCACTCATTGTCTTCACATTGTTTGCCTGTACTTCTTAGGCCTTTCTTGTTGTGTTTCTACTCAAAGCACTGCTGCTCGGGAACTTGGGGTCGACCCTCTTAAGAGAGTCTTGATGCCATTTCTGTGCTATTTTCGGGATTGGTTGTGTGTAGTGTGGTTCTTGGACTTGGCCATGTCTGAACGGCAACCCAAGGCTCCTGAGGTGCCTGACACCGGAACAGAAAATAGGCGAAGGCAATTTTAAAATGGTCTGTTTCTTGTCTCCCCAACCCTTTCCCCCTATTGTTGAGGGTTGAACCCAGGACCTTCTATGTGCTGGGCAAGTGCATTACCACTGAGTTACTTTACCAGTTCTCTCTATTTGTAAGATGTGAAGAATGTTAATGTAAGACAAAGGATCCCATGGAGAGAGGACAATTACAGAGTTAATAATAATAATTTAAAGTTTATTCAGGAGGTTCTCTATAGCATGTACTGTTAGCATAAATTTAAGATAATAAAGCTGGGCATGGCCGTGCACACCCTTAATCCCAGCACTCAGGCATTAGAAGTAGAGTATTTCTTTTGAATTGAAGCCAGCCTGGCTACTAAGTGAGTTCTGAGTTCTAGGCCATCCCCATTCCCTACTCCAGTGCTATAGAAAACTTTTTTTTTTTTTGAGGCAGAGTTTCTCTGTGTACCCCTGGCTGTCCTGGAACTCACTCTATAGACTAGACTGGCCTCAGACTTAGAGATCTGACTACCTCTGCTTTCCAAGTTATGTGACTGAAAGTGTGCACTACCACTGTCTAACCAACAATTTTTTTAAGTCCCCTCTCTCATTCCTTAAAGGGCTATTGTGCCCCTCCCCCCAGTATCATTCTAGTTTGATCATTTTATCTATGAAAAAGACCCTTTATGGGAAGTCAATTATTTTTTCATATCTACTCTTTTTGGTTGAGACTTCATATTTGACACATAATTTCATAGACACAGCCAATCTGTTTTCACCTAAGCCCCAGCCTACAAGTTACACACAGAGAAAACCACCTAGGCATCCTAGCATTCGAAAAGGGAAGTGGAGGCAGCAACAGA